CCGAAGGGAAAAAGCCATCGGTTGCAAATGGGTTTTCAAAAGAAAATAAATACCGTCCACTGGATTAATGAGATACAAGGCGCGACTTGTCGCGCAGGGATTCAGCCAGAAGTACGGAACAGATTACGACGAAGTGTTCGCGCCAGTAGTGAGGGCTTCGACGCTGCGCCTATTACTCGCGGTAGCGACACTAAGGAAACTGAAGATTCATCACTTCGATGCGAAGACGGCTTTCCTCAATGCCGAGCTAACCGAAGCGATTTATATGAAACAACCGGAGGATTCGTTGACAAAAATAAGAGATTCGTATGCAAGCTCAACAGGAGATCATATACGGACTAAAGCAAGCTGCGAAGCCTGGAATGAGAAACTACACAGGGCGCTCAGGCCTAGGGTTCAAGCAAAGCACTTCGGACCCTTACCTGTATTCAAAAGAGAGCCAGAAGAGTGTGCAATATGTGGTCGTGTACGTGGATGACCTTCTGATAGCGGACAAGGACGCAAACGAAATTCAAAACACGGTTGATGGGCTCGCAGCGCAGTTCAAGCTCACGAGACTCGGGGAACTGAAGAGTTACCTCGGATTAACATCAAGAGGGACGCAGACGGGATTTTTTACATGGATCAGGCTCAATATATCCAGAAAATAATCGAAAGATTCGGATTGCAGGACGCGAAGATATCCAAGACGCCCCTGGACACAGGCTACATGAAGATAGCTCGCGATGGAAAGGCCATGAGCCACGGAAACAAATTCCAGAAACTCATCGGAGCCTTGTATGTAGCAACCCACACGAGACCCGACATAGCAGCAAGCGTGTCGATATTGAGTCAGCGCGTCAAACAACCGACAGAGACAGACTGGAACGAGGCCAAGAGAATTGTCAGGTATCTAAAGGGTACAAAGAAACTGAAACTGAAACTGACAAGTACCACAAACGGGCTCGAGGTCTACGCAGACGCGGACTGGGCGGAGGACAGGACGGACAGCAAATCACACAGCGGGTTCATTTTCAGGTACAACGGAGGAGCAATAGCCTGGGCATGTAGGAAGCAAACATGCACAGCGTGGTCAAGTTGCGAAGCCGAGTACATCGCCATAGCAGAAGCAACCAGAGAGCTGCTGTGGGTGAGAAGACTGCTTGGCGATCTCGGGATAGCACCAACCGGGCCTATCCGGATGTACGAGGACAACCAAAGCGCGATCAAGTTGGTAAAAACTGGCGAATCGAGGAACAGGACAAAACACGTCAATTTGAAATACCATTTCGTCACGGATCTGATCAAGAAGAAAATCGTTGATCTGCAATACTGTCCAACCGACGAGATGATCGCCGACATGATGACAAAACCACTGGGGGCCGTGAAGCTGAAGAAACACCGACAAGGATGTCAACTGGTGGAGCTCGCGCAAACAATCGGTTAATGAAGAGTAATCGTTGAGGAGGGGTGTTGGTGTATCAATTCTTTCAAAAGGACAACGATTCTGCCGCGTTTACTCACATCAGCGCTCGCGTATTAATCGTCGCGCGCATGTGCAAGATTTTTTTTTTGACGCGCGTACGCCGCTCTCATTATCACTTATATATATATGGTTTCCTTTTTTTTCTTACTTGCGGTCGCACACTCTGTACTCTAGAAGCTAAAATATATACGCTATTTTTATATCAATCTCAATTCCGATTTCTCTGTTCACTTGGTGTTGGAGTCATCCTGCTGCACGATATAACCAACAAATCCAAACTCAACGACCGTGTTAAACGCGACGTCGGATAAAAAAGAAAACGACTCAGTAACGGCATTATTTTCTACTTCGACGGTCACCGCGCGCAAAAATGTATTACTCGCGACCGCCCGTGTTGCTGTTTTTTCGCCGTCGGGTCGTACACTCAACGTGCGAGCGCGCCTCGATCAAGGCTCAGAAATTACCTTTATCACAGAGCGTCTCGCTCAAAATTTAAAATTGCAACGTGTTCGATTGCCTCTTTCGATTCCCGCCGTCGGCGGCGTAGATGCGGGCACTTGTCGTTTCGCCGCTCAAGTCAAGATCGCTCCGATCAATTCTAACTTACCGGTGTTAACGACGACCGCGTCGATACTCAAAGTTTTAACTAAATACTCGCCATCAAAGGCATTCTCTCTGTGCGATTGGAGCTATCTTCAGGATCTTGCGCTCGCGGATCCGACTCCCGTCAGTGCCGAATCTATCGAACTCATCATCGGTGCGGACCTTTATCCCGAATTATTACTCGACGGTATTCGGAAAGGAACGAGCGGACAACCGATCGCCCAGCGGACGATCTTCGGCTGGGTCCTCTCAGGCCCCACGTCGAATTCCGGTGCGCCGCATCGATCGGTTACCGTGCAGCATTGCGCGAGCGCGGATACTCTCGATCGAGAACTCAGATGCTTCTGGGAAGTCGAAGAAGTGCCGCGTCGCGCGCTTCTCAGCCCAGAAGAACAACAGTGCGAACAGCACTTCGCACAAACACATTCGCGCGATGCTGACGGTCGGTACGTCATGCGTCTGCCGTTCAGGCGCGATCCACCAATCGACATTGGTGAATCGCGTTTTATCGCCGAGCGTTCACTCTCCAGTCTTCACCGACGATTTCGGTCGAACGCTGTTCTAAAGTCCAAATACGTCGATTTCTTGCGCGAATACGAAGCGCTCGGTCATATGCGTCAAGTTCCGGACTCAGTGCTTTCCGCTCAGCACGTATATATTCCGCATCATCCTGTCATCCGAGACAGCAGTCTCACTACGCGATTGAGAGTCGTCTTTAACGCGTCAAGTCGAACGACAAACTCGATTTCGTTAAACGATCATTTGCATGCAGGTCCGAAACTCCAGACGGAGTTACCTGCAGTGATCTTGCGATGGCGGCAATTCCGGTATGTATATGCGGCGGACATCGCGAAGATGTGTCGCCAAATCCGTGTTGACTCTCGTGACATCGACTTCCAGCGAATCTTATGGAGCGCCGGCTGCTCAGATACCGTGCAGTCCTATCAACTGACCACGGTTACTTACGGGACAGCGTGCGCGCCCTTTCTCGCTCTTCGGGTTATACAACAGCTCGTGACGGACGAAGGCAGCTCGTTTCCTCTTGCCGCGCCGGTCCTGCATGAGAACATCTACGTCGATGATGTTCTGTTCGGTGCCGATGATATTCCGCTTCTCAAACAAACTCGCGATCAGGTCTGCGCTTTGCTCGGTCGGGGACGGTTCGAATTGAGAAAATGGTCGAGCAATTCTGCTGCTCTGCTGAACGATATCGAGGTCGACAACCACGGCCTCGCGTGCGATCGCACTCTTCGAATCGACGAACATCTAAGAATTTTAGGCATAAGCTGGAGCCCATCTTCCGATATGTTCCAATTTACCGTAACTCATATTCCGTCCGTTTCAAAAACCAAGCGGTCAATACTCTCGTACGTTGCCAAATTGTTTGATCCAATGGGGTGGTGCACTCCAGTAACAATCGCTGCCAAGATCTTTATGCAACAATTGTGGCAGCTTAAACTCGACTGGGACGATGTCCTTCCGACTGACGTCCTGCAAAAGTGGGACGCCCTTCAGGCCTCACTGGCCGATCTCCACGATCTCCAACTGAATCGATGGATTCAGCGAGGGTCTGACTCTGTCCGCTGCGAATTGCACGGATTTTCTGACGCGTCCACTCACGCATACGCAGCGGCCGTGTACCTTCGGCTCATTTCTCTTTCTGGCGAAATCTCTTCTCACTTGCTAATCGGCAAGTCAAAGGTCGCTCCGATCAAGTCCCTCAGTATTCCTCGGCTGGAGTTATGCGCAGCCGGCTTGCTGGCTCGGCTACTCGAATTCGTGTGAACCACTCTTGGTCTCGCCACCTCCCCGTGCTATTGCTGGACAGACTCAACTGTCGTTTTAGCGTGGGTCACGCAACAACCGGCCAAATGGAAGACGTTCGTCGCGAATCGCGTATCAGAGATACAATCGCGCGTTCCGAACGCGGTGTGGAACCACGTTCCCACCGATGAAAATCCCGCAGATTGCGCATCTCGCGGAATCGCCGGGTCTCTCCTTCGAACTCACCCACTCTGGTGGTGTGGCCCAGCATGGTTGCGTTACCCGATCGACGAGCCGTCGGCTTCTCGATCGCACAATTTCGATACTCAAATCGAACAAAAGGAGAGTATTCAGTCTCATTTAGCTTCGACGGCACTTGACTGCGACTTTACGATGAGATTTTCGTCGTGGCCTCGGTTAATTCGCGTAACAGCGTATATAATGCGCTTCATCAATAAAACTCGGAGGCAGTCGATTCCCGTTGACGACGTTAATGAGAACACGCTAGCGTTATCAGCCCGCGAATGTCAACTCGCGAAAGAATTTGTTCTGGGACGGATTCAGCAAGAGCTTTTCCCTCTCGAGTTCGCTGCGCTCACAAGTCAACGAGCCATATCCTCAAAAAGCTCGATTCTGTCGCTCAACCCTTTCCTCGGCGAGGATAGATTAATCCGTGTTGGCGGGCGGCTTTCGCACGCGCCGCTTTCCTTTTCCGTTAAACACCCGATTATTCTCGCCTCACATCCGCTAGTCGCTTTGGTTCTGTATCACGTGCATTTAAAATCTCTACACGCAGGTCTACAATTAACGCTCGCTACTCTACGACGCGAGTATTGGGTACTTCGCGCCCAAAGTCTCGCAAAACTCACTATTTTTCGCTGCGTTATTTGTACTCGAGAAAGGGCCACGATTCCCTTCCAACAGATGGGTGATCTGCCTCGCGTGCGGGTGACTCCTCCCGCACGCGCTTTTCTCAATTGCGGACTGGATTACGCTGGTCCGGTGCTCGTACGATCCTTGTCTGGTCGCGGAATCCCGTCACGAAAAGCGTATATCGCGATTTTTATTTGCATGGCGACATTCATTTGGAGCTCGTGGAGGGTACTCAACCTCAACGTTTATCGGCGCGTTTTCTCGATTTTGCGCTCGACGCGGCCTGCCCTCGGCCATGTATTCAGATAATGGCACAAATTTCGTGGGCGCCGAACGCGAGCTTACCGCCGCGTTTCGCGCGGCTATCAGAGACCCGGACTTTCTCAATCGAACCGCTTCCGATCGAATCACGTGGCACTTTATGCCACCTTCCGCTCCTCATTTCGGCGGATTATGGGAGGCGGGAGTACGGAGTGTAAAGCACCATCTCCGTCGAGTGATTGGGGCTCATACTCTCACATTTAAGGAATTCTCAACAGTCTTATGCAATGTGGAGGCGTGTCTCAATTCCCGACCGCTCGCTCCTCTCAACGACTCGGTCGACGATTATGAACCGTTAACTCCCGAGCATTTTTTGATCGGCTCGGCCCTGACCGCAGTTCCCGAACCTTCCGTTTTGAATCTTCGCGAAAATAGACTGTCGCGCTGGCAACTCGTGCGCCAGATCTCAGAAAGATTCTGGAAGTTATGGCTTGACGACTATGTAAATACGTTACAACAGCGCGTCAAGTGGAAACGACCTGCTAAAACCGAGATCCGCGTCGGTCAACTCGTCTTATTGCGTAACCCTCTACTCCCCCCTTGCAAATGGGAGCTCGCTCGCGTACTACGATGTCACACGGGTCAAGACGGATTAACTCGCGTTGTCACGGTGAAGACTGCGGCGTCCGAGTATAAGCGACCGATTAATAAGCTATGCCTGCTTCCAATCGATATCGAGAGCCTGGAGCCTCCGACGTAAAGCGACTTCATGCTCCCGATTTCAAAGGAAATCATACGTACCCTCAACATTCCGATCGCCTCGTTAAATCCTTCTAACTGTTCTCTTAGTTTTGTACCCATAGCATATATTTCGAAACGATAGTTTCGAGGCGAGCGGTATGTTAAGGACCGTCAACACGTTTATTAAATTCGAGTCTGTCTATTCTGTAAATTTATGTCGTTCAAATTGTCGTTCCGCCAAGTCGTTCGATCTTGCTTATTGTGTCAATATTTTCAAATTACTCGCGTTATTCGTGTCAGCCTCGCAGTAACGGCTGTCCTTTGTGATTATCGTCTTAAAAATTAAATATTTTGGCATGACTCTCGTCGACAGATTCTCGTTCGCAAAATATCCGTTGACTTGTTTTCGACGTCTCTTGTTTATTCGTTATTCTATCCCGACTTTCGCACGCAGAAAAACTTGAAGCGTTTCCCGGTCAAACTGTTTTGCTTCTTCTCGTATGGGCAAATTGAGGAGCAAACCGGCGTTCCCGCCGATTCTTTGTCAGAAGCTAACGAGAAATCATACGATCGAGATCGCGTCCGCACCTTCAAAATTAGAACAACTTGGCCGGACTTATCGTTAGTAACGGGAACGCGGAACTCTATCTAAGTGTCGCATCAGTGATACGATTCCAGCATTATACTTAACACGGACAAAGTGAATAAATGACAGTTTTGTTAATTTGATTAAACAATTGTGCATTTTATAAATCTGTTACTCTCTCTCGCTCCCGTCTTTAATCTTCAGTCTCGCAGTCGCGGTCTACTATCATTCTGTCTCTCTCGCTCCTGCTCAACGTTATATCACTCTGTCTCTCTCGCTCCTTCTCAACGCTATACCGCCTTCTCTCTCATCGCACATTCATCCCGCGTTCTCGCGGAGCGGAACCCGCCGCACGCGTTCACGACATTCGAGTGAAAAACCCTCGAATCACGAACACGTTTATTTTATTCTCTTTTTATTTAAAATTAGTCTGTTACTCATTAGAAGTGTACAAGTAAATTAATTATACATGTAACAATATGTGCATATTTGAATGAATTTACCAACATGGCTTTATTTTCTTTAAAATAAAGCAAAAATGAGCAAAGTTCATAGCTGGGTAAGCATGCTATTATAAAAGTGCCCCCAATGAGTTTCGTAATGACATTTGGCCTGTCTTTTTCTAACTGTAAAAAACACAATGTTTCCAAAAGTTTTGCTCCCTAACTCTATAATTTCCTGAGAGAAGGTTATTTTTATTTTAATTCTTTTTTCTATCGCAAATATTTTACATCATCACACATAAATTTTTTGCAGAATCAACCAAAGACACTAAAAAAATATTTTTTTGGTTTCTCGAATAAAAACTCGATAAATTTAAATAAAATAAAGAAATGGCCTTTTCAGAATGTTTCTTTCGAGGTTCAATAACCAAACTTTTACAGAATATTCTTTTTTTTATGTCTGAATACTTTCAAAGTTTAAAATTTTTTTCAAGTTGTTGGAATATTTTAAAAAAAATGAAAACTATTTTTTAGCATTATATTAAAAAATTTAAAAGAGCTAATTTCTTCTCATATAGAAATTTACTTTTCGATTACATTTTTGTAAAAGTTGCTGTAATTTTTGTGTAAATATAATTTTATATTTTTTATGTATGATCAAAACTATAATTGTTATAAGAAAAATAAATAATGTTTGGAAATAATGCAAAAAAAAGTAATTTTTATTTTTTTTTAAATGATGCACCAACTCGAAAAATTTGAAACAATTTGAGAGTATTGAGACATAAAGACAAAATATTCTGTAAAAGTTTTGTGATTGAACCTCGAAAGGAACGTACTGAAAAGGCCATTTCTTTATTTTATTTAAAATTTTTAATTGAGTTCTTATTCGAAAATATAAAAAATTTTTTTGGTGTCTTTGGTTTATTAGAATTTAGCAAAAAATTGATGTGTGATAATGTAAAATATTTGCGATAGAGAAAAGAAATAAAAATAATCTTCTCTCTAGACATTAGAGTTAGGGAGCAAAACTAGGAAAAATTGTTTTTTATAGTTAGAAAATGACAAGCCAAATGTCATTTAGAAACTAGTTGGGGGCACTATGCTTGCCCGGCTATAGTTTTTGCAACAATTATAAAATTTTTTTTTATTCTTTACGCACTCAAAGCTTGGAATACATTGGAATACTCTGTCTGGGTTCGGCAAAGCAAATCTAAGACGTTGCAGACGTTGTCTCTTTCTTTACTCTATTTTTGTTCTATTACAATACACTGATTGGCAAATTTCAGGCCACAGTATTTTTAAGTGTAATTTTACTTTTAGCCTATTTATCTATAATTTATTATATATAATTATATTGTAAGTTTAATTTATTTTCATTAAAATTTAAAAAACTATAAAGTACAATATAATTGGGTTATAAAATTATGATACGCCTTGTTTAATTTTTACGAATTTAGTTTAAAATATTTTTTTCAAAATCGCATTAATCATGAAATATTCCACCTTTTTTGGACTTCTGATCACTCTGTATAAATCTAATGTAAGAAAAAAATTATTAAAAATATTTTTTTTTCAAAGTATTTTTTACATCACTAATAAATTTATATATAATAAATAACAGAATTAGTCAAAAGAGCATCCAGACGTTTCAGATTGCTTCGCCGAACCCAAGTTCTATACAGGGTGTCTAAAATTCGCGGAACACTCGAGAAGGTAGAGAATGATACAGAATGATACAGAACTTTTCTGTTCAGATAACACTCTCTACCTTCCCAGGGTGTTCTGCGAATTTTCGGACACCTAAATTTAAAATGGTGTTACAAACCTTTTCATCCATCCTTTCTTTCGCGACATCCTGCGGCGAGTGAGAGCAAATGTGTTTTGTCGTATTTTCTTCCCATCACTTTTATAATATATTTTTCTTTTACTTGTATACACTCTTCTAAACACTTCTATACACTTACTACTATAAACACTATACAGCTTTCACTACACGTATGTACACAGTCTGTCTAGACTCAACGTGCTAATTGTAAGTCAGCTGTTATCTCGCGCTATTACTGCGAGCCGCGTACAGATAGCAGTACACGATGGAACAGGGTTGGAAGAGCAGTCGCCCGGCAAGCGAAAGGTCTCGGGTTCGATTCCCGATTCTGCGACTTTCGGATCTATATTTTTCTCTCGCATTTATTTCTTTAGGGGGAATAGGGGATACATGGAATTAAAAATCTCTTGTAGAGATTATTCCAATTTTATATCTTGGCCGTGTCCAAGTAAAATTTGGTGCCTTGTGCACAGGTATTTAATTCTAACGAAAAAAAAAAAATTTAGTTTCGTTTAGGATAACGCACTGTCATCCGCGATTTGGCTCTTATTGCCTGTCTTATATATGTTAAATTTATATTGATGGATTTATTTATTTTTATCATTTAAAAAAGATATACGTGAGCGGGGCGAATATGATATCTTACCCCGCTTTTTTTTGCTGGAGCAATAATCAATAGGTACCGAGACGTTATACTAATGGATGGAGCTACCGCGGAACTTGCTGAACAAATGCTTCAAAAGGCAAGATCTGAAAATACACTGAGACTGAGAGTTGAAACAGAGCATCTGGCAAGAAGAAATGCCATGTGGAATCGTTTAAATGAAAATCAGATTCTTGATTTTCCAAGACTTGACATCGATTTCTTGAAAGAGTTAACTGTCGGTATTTATCAGATACGTTTAGCACCTGCGTATATTCAAGACAAACTGGTGCGCGATGAATCTGAAGTATTTGAACTTGATGAACACAGAAATGAAGCTGGCCTTCTTAGAGTTCGGGTGTACTCTCGATTCCGCAATGCAACGAAGCATCAATTATGGATTGCTTACAGACCTCATGGAGATGAAAATAATGAACCCATAACGGGTTATTACTGTACTTGTGTATCAGGTTCACGAACACTGGGTTTATGTGCTCATGTTGCAAGTGTTCTCTGGTTTTTAGGATACGCACGACATCAACCTAATACTAAATATCCCAGCGTCACATTACTTAATCACATAAAAGACGCTGCTAATAGATATAATCAAGATGAAGAAATCGAAGGAGAAGTTATTGAACCATTTTGAATGTTTCAATGACAAAAAATGGCCCTTATCAGGGCCCAAATGATGTGCAAATCCGATCGCGCAACCTCCACGTGGTGCACATTGGGTGACGCTAATGCCGACGGTAGTTTGTATACATATACGTACCGTGTGTATAGGCATGTATTACAAATACATTCGAATAACATCGTTAAATAACTTCTTACACTATTTTATACTAGTAATTGCGGGCATCGACATTTTCAACTTTTGACTCATTTTATCTAAAAAACTGGCCATTTTCGGAGCTTGTGCCCTATGCAACTTTTCATCGGGATGTCTTGAACTACAACATACTCCATCCCCAGCCCATTTAACTGTACACCGGTTTCCCTTTATTTTGTGCGGGGTCCTTTGTTTATAACAATAATGGAGTAAAATTATTTTTAGGAACTTTATAAATCGAATTTTTTTTTAAGTCAGATTATTGTTTCACGTTTACACATATTATTGTATAAAAATAAAATCAAAGCAAATCTTCATACATATATTTATATACTTTACACATGTATATGTGTGTATAATAGCTCGAGAAATTTGAGAGAGAGATAGAGAGAGAAAGAGAGAAAGAGAGCGTGGCAACATAAAAATCTTGATTAGGGAAAAGCCAACTATGCTCGTCGAAGAAATGTCACATTCGTCCGCTACCCACATGACGAAGAAACCATGTGTACATACATATACCGCTCGGCGGCTCGACGTTCAGGTAGAAGAGCGCAGACAAGAATCTGCTATCTCTTTCTTTCTCGAGACATATACCTAACGTCTCAAGAATCATGTAAGCGCCGGCACCTGTCTTTTAACTCTCACGTAACAATATAAAAATTATAAGTAGATATCAATGTAATTACATATGTCTAATGTTATATCATGAATATGATAATTTTATCCTTTATATTGAAAGTTAATCCTTCTTATTTCTCCTGTATATTCATCGGTTGCATGAAACATTTTCTTCAAGATCATTTTGCTTCGAAAATATTTTTTAAAACCAGAACATACTTAAAAAATTATATATATAATATTACACACACATACACACACACATATATTGTAAGCTACGCGCGCGCATGTCTGTTACCGTTCTTTGTCAGCCCGTCAGCTGCTGCCACCAATACCGGGTGTCCAAGGAGCATGCGCGGCTCCACGAGAGCGAACCACCTCGAGACCGGCGGGAGAGCCGACACTCTCCTTCGGAAAGTATCACGGATCAGACGCGTTCGGTATACGGGAGTCATTCGGAAAGTCTTTTGTTTAATTATATTTGAAGATACTTTAAATATATTAGTTCTTTACTTTAATTATTACTGGTGTTAGATATTCTGCTCGAATCTAATATTTCCTATAATTAATCCGCTTTGTTCAATCTGCGCGCCCGCTTGCCACCTTTCCTCGTCTCCTAAATATATCTTTTGATTAAACTAGGAAGCGTGCAAATATTTAAACTAGTTAACTTACATCTCAGAAGTGGGATGTTAGTGAACAATAGTGAACGATTAATTAGAATAGTTAACAAGACCGAGCATAAAAGTAAGCGATAATCGTCGGCGAAAACAGTTATCGGAACGCGGTCGGAAAGGAAAAAAAACTGGAGCAAAAAAAACACATTCCTTCAGAAGAAAACAAGAACGACCTTTATTCAAGGAACTTCTTTGTTCGGTAACATACGTGCATGGTGAGAGCACGTGCTCGTTTAACGATGGAGAGAGCCGGCCTGGAGAAACTCAACCTTGAGCAGCTGAAAGCAGAAGCGGCGAAATTTGGATTAGCAACCACGGGTTCCTGGAGTGACGTGATTGACCGAATCATGACTCACCTTGAGAAACACGGCCCGGCTCAGGAGTTGCGTCAGTTGGCGTCAGGCAATCAGTTGTCGGGGTCCGCTTCGAAAGCCGTTGCTCCATCCGTCGCGACCGAACAGCAGGCAGTCGAGATTCCAGGACCGTTCCAAGGGCGAAAGACGTCAGTGACCGGTACTGGGGATCACTCGACGATTGTGTTGCAGCAGATGCTAGCGGCGATGCAGCAGCAGCAACAGCAACTAACGCAGATAGTGCAAATGTTAATGGAGCAGAGATGTGAAGCAACGAGGCAACCGCAGTCAGATCAGCTTACCGAAAGCAACCTGAGTTCGATGCGATCATCACCGGCGGGCGAGTCGGAGCGGCGGTCGACGGAGTCCTGGCCTTCAGGGTCGGCAGTGCAGGCGTTGGCCCACCAGATACCTGAGTTCGCCAGGGCTGACGACGACAACGTCCACGCACGTCCGTCGGGTGGACAAGGTCGCCCAGGTGCACGGAGCTTCGGATGGCGCAACTCTGTTGGCAGCCTCCAGTCGGCTGTCCAAGTCGGTGCGTCGATGGTTTGACACCCAGGGTGACGTAGCGGTAGAGTCTTGGAGGAGCCTACGGGCTGAAATTTTGAAAATATTTAATAGAAAGGTACCATTTTATAGATCTATGCAGAAGCTAGAGTCAAGGAAGTGGCTTCCGGCGAAGGAGTCCTTCGACGACTATGCCATCGACAAGCTTGCGATGATGCATAGATTGGACCTACTTGAGAGTGACCGGATCCAACTTCTGATTAGCGGAATCTAGCAGACTTCGCTGAAGGCGACGGCGTTGTCCCTCACGGCCGACACGATGGACGTCTTTCTCGACAGGATGAGGACCATCGCTCAGGGCACGGCAGAGGTAGACCGGAGGACGTCGCAGTTGCATCTGCAGTTCAAGGACAAGCAGGCCAAGGATGCCTGCAAGAACTGCGGGAAAAAGGGTCACACACACAAGGAGTGCAGAGATGAGCCAAGCTGCTTTTACTGCAAGGAAAAGGGCCACCGCAGATTCGATTGTCCGGTCCTGAGGAGAAAGGAACCCAGGGCGGCCCCAAAACCAACCGGTGCGACATTGGCGGCGGCGACTGTATTGGAGGAGCTCCAGGAGTCCGCAGCGATAGCAGCCGTCCAGGAAACGTCCACGGAATTGGTGGTAGGCGATCCCCTGATCCGAGTGAGTCTACCTGAGCAAAAATAAATCTGTTAGCGTTAATAGATACGGGTAACCCAGTATCTTTCGTAAAAGCGAGCGTGTTTTATAAATTCATAAAATCAGACGCGAAATCGTTGATTGGTACAAAATGCAACTTAAGAAATTTATCAGACCAAAAATTAGATGTTATTGGCTTAAAGGGAAGTTCGGCAAGTGTAAAATTCAAAAAAATCTGAAACTTTGTATAAGTTTAGAGTAGATGAACCTAATCACGAAACAATTTTTTTTAGCTGCTAATATTCGGTTTTAGGGGTGCAGCATCCCCTTAAATAAAATCGGTGTTTACGTTTTTAAGCGAATATCGCCGAAATAATAAGAAATATAAAAAAATGTTTCCAGCAAAAGTTTTATGGTTTCGAAAGCTCTTTATAATGGCATGATCATATTTTGCAAAAATGTTTAATTTTTCAAAATACCCCACCACGTATCTTTTTTTTTCATATTTAAATTTTTCTTGCAACTAAAATTAAAGTTTATTTCACGCCAAATTCAACCATATATAATAAAGTTGCGATCCGTAAACGTGTTTTTGAGAAATAAACTGAAAACATCCTTACAGGGTATGCTGTCAATTTTATCGGCCCGCTAATTTTGGCTACGACTTCTCTTTCTCCCCTTCTCTCTGTAATTTTTCGCAATACAAGATAACGATGAAACAGATGTTCGTAATAAATCTAATCACGTAACTGATTTTTGTATATTACACATTTTATAAATAATATAGTAGTCAAAATATATCGTAAGAGAAAAATCAAAGTTATCGATAAAGTAATTTTTGATTTAGACCTTTGGTAAAAAAAATTAAAGATTATCGTCTAGAATGAAATAAACACGGATGCACTAACGTATATGTAATATTTCCTGTTATGTACGTCATTATATTTATGAGAACGTTATCAACTTTGAATAGTTGAAAGGTTGAAAGATTATCGAGATTGATGTGATGCAATAAAAGGGAAGATTATGGGAAGGCTATCTTTAATGTTCGTTGTCCTTATACAATTAGTATAAAAGCCATCCGCTTTTGCATTTTATTCATGTTATTTAATATATTGTACGTGTGATACTTTCTGTGGGAAAATTTCATATAACATTTATTCAAGCATTTATGTCAAAATGTTGGCCATAAATACGGCGAACGTTATAAATTTGTTAATTACAACGTTTCACATTGCAAATCTCGCTGTCACTCCTGTTAATCATCGTGAAGTAGAACTCCACGATGCAATTTCAAATTTAATAAGGGATTCTCTAAAAGACGATATTACGATTGAATATGATTGGGGACTTGATTTTGATGATCCATCGGAACCTCAAGCTGTACAGTTTGTAGATTCGTATGATCCTCATGCTGAAGAAGATAACTATGAAGATGAAGTTTGTATTGTAGATGACGAAGGTGGAAGTGTAGATTTAAATTATAAAAAAAAGCGGTTGAATATTGGAACAGTGGAAAAAAAAGACGTTTATCCGTTTCTGTTGTACAGAATCGTTTTAGAAAGGTAAATTCTCATTAAAAAATAAGTACAATACTAACTAAATATAGATAAACGTGTATGAATATCATAGTGGATAATAAACAAAAGTCAGGAACAACGTTTCATGTCGCATGTTCATCTGCATTCGATTAATTTTCTTGTGTTTGATATAATCTTTTAAATATTGGATCTTTTTTCTTTTAGGTAAAACATGTTTCGCAATTGTACAGATGGCAGGAGTATATAATGCGTGGAGGGACAAACAAAGACAAATTGATATTCATTGCCGAATATGTATTAATAAAATTTCAAGAAACTATTGATAGAGGATCTATTATTCATGACATCGATTTGCGAAGGTGGGCGCTAGAAGCAAAGAAGCAAGTGAATTTTGCTACATTTAAAGCAGGACATTGGTGGATATGGAATTTTAAAAAAGCTCATCGCATTACATCACGTAAAATAACAAAATTTAAAACGCAATCTAATTTACAAGCTGATGCACTGATACGTCAAAATGCAGAAGAATTTGTGACAAATGTAAAACCACATATTGCTATAACTGGTGAAGGATCAACTTATAATGCAGATGAAAGCGGTTTTAATCTAGAAATACATTCTGGAAGAACATTAACTAATATGGGAGTAAAGACAGTCGAAGCTACTGTTCAATCTTTATCTTCTATAAGTCATAGTTATACTATTATGCCAATTATATCTGCGGACGGGTATCTTCTTTCGCCTCTATATATAGTCTTAAAAGAAACTACTAGGTCGTTTGGACCACGAGTAGAAGAAACTCTTTTTCGACCTGCTAATGTTTATATTGCGGCTTCAAAATCCGGAAAGCTCACAACCCAACACTTTAAAAATTGGTTTTTAGAGGTATATCTTCCGAATACTAAAGAGAAAAGTTTGCTGTTGCTAGATTCATGGACAGGCCATTGCCCGGAACAGTTAATAGAACTTGTACCAAAAGACAAACAAGTAAATATTTTAACAATACCAAAAAAAACAACTGCTTTTATACAACTTTTAGATGTTTTTGGCTTTAGAATCTGGAAAAATTTTATTCGAAGCTTCTCTGATAATGTTATTTTAAATAATTACGATATAAATTTACATTTACGCAATAACATTATAAAATTACAGTCTTTGGCACACAATCAACTTTCTTCTCCAAGATTTCGAAATTTATTTAAATATAGTTGGTATAAAAGTGGCTATTTATCAACACGGCCTGAAAAGTTTGAAAATCCAATCAATTACTGTTATTTTAAAGAAAAAAAACATATACCGAAATGTAGCATTTGTGATAAAATGGCTTTTATACGTTGTGCATGGTGCAAAAAATACTTCTGTTTTGAACACTTCTTTGAACAATACCATTATTGTAACAATTATATAGAATAAATAATATCTTATTTTTGTAAAAACTACTATATTATTTATAAAATGTGTAATATACAAAAATCAGTTACGTGATTAGATTTATTACGAACATCTGTTTCATCGTTATCTTGTATTGCGAAAAATTACAGAGAGAAGGGGAGAAAGAGAAGTCGTAGCCAAAATTAGCGGGCCGATAAAATTGACAGCATACCCTGTAAAGATGTTTTCAGTTTATTTCTCAAAAACACGTTTACGGATCGCAACTTTATTATATATGGTTGAATTTGGCGTGAAATAAACTTTAATTTTAGTTGCAAGAAAAATTTAAATATGAAAAAAAAAGATACGTGGTGGGGGTATTTTGAAAAATTAAACATTTTTGCAAAATATGATCATGCCATTATAAAGAACTTTCGAAACCATAAAACTTTTGCTGGAAACATTTTTTTATATTTCTCATTATTTCGGCGATATTCGCTTGAAAACGTAAACACCGATTTTATTTAAGGGGATGCTGCACCCCTAAAACCGAATATTAGCAGCTAAAAAAAATTGTTTCGTGATTAGGTTCATCTACTCTAAACTTATACAAAGTTTCAGATTTTTTTGAATTTTACACTTGCCGAACTTCCTTGTTAGTTAAGGTAACGTTAAATTTTGAATTCCTAAAAAGAAAAGAATTTCAAGCAAATTTATATGTTCTGAAAAACGAATCATTTCAAAGCGATGTTATCATTGGTCGCGAGTTTTTGCGGGAAAACAAACTCACGTTAGTCTATAATCCTGTGGCGAAAATACAGGAAGAGAAGGTCAACTTGTTTGCGATGCTTCCATTGTGTGTCGACGAGGGGCAAACAGAAACGCTGAAACAAATAATACAAAATAGACTTTGATACGGATACAAAAATTGGTTTGGAAAAATTGATATCTAGAGTTCAGACACAAAATATTTCTTCAGTAAATGATGATTACCGTGTAGAAGTAAATATAAAGGATTCTTCGATATTCGCGTATGCCCCTAGGCGATTCGCAATGGCGGAACGGAAGCAAATCTGAGATATTATCGATGATCTTCTCCAGCGAGGTATCATTAAGTCGAGCGTATCACCGTATTGCGCCAGGGTCGTACCTGTTAGGGAAAAAGACGGTCGATTAAGGCTCTGCGTAGACCTCCGACTTCTGAATAGCCGGGTTCACAAGCAAAAATATCCTTTTCCAATAATTGAGGAATGTATTTCCAAGTTAAGCAATAAAAAAATTTTTACTCTACTAGATCTCAAAGATAGTTTTCATCAGATTAAAGTACACGAGAATTCGTCTAAGTATTTTTCATTTACGACCCCGGATGGTCAATTTGAATTTATTTGCTTACTGTTTGATTACTGTAAGGCACCGGCCGAATTTCAGAAAAGGCTTATTCAAATTCTAAACCCTTTGATTAGGCAAGACAAGGTTATTGTTTACATCGACGATGTCTTAATCCCAGCTGAAACAATACAAGAAAATTTAGACACCTTAGAAGAAGTCATGTTAATACTAAAAAAAATATGGATTCGAACTTAACTTTAAAAAATGTAAATTTTTGAGAAAAAGAATAGAATTTTTGGGATATGTAATCTCGTCAGAGGGAATTACGTTAAGTCCGCGGCACACGGAGGCAGTGCACAACTATAGACAGCCTAAAGATAAAATTTAGTTACAAAGATTTCTAGGCCTCTCCAATTATTTTCGTAAATTCATAAAAATTATGCTTTCAAAGTCAAACCGTTGCAAAACTTGCTAAAAAAGGATGTAAATTTTGAATTTAATGGCGCGTGTGTCGAAGCATTCTCAAATATTAAAAAAGAATTAACATCTTACCCGGTGTTAAGACTATTTGATCCAGCGGCTGAGACTCAGTTGCATACCAATGCATGTAGTGGAGGTATAGGAGCGGTTTTCCTCCAACGTCAGTGTGACGGTTCATGGGCCCCTGTAGCTTACTTCAGTCAGTCGACTAATGCGGCTGAATCGCGTTACCACAGTTTTGAGCTGGAAATGTTGGCAATTGTGAGATTGGTGGAAAGATTCCATTTATATTTGTATGGTATTAAATTCAGTATAATTACAGATTGTAATGCGTTAGTACACGCAGTCAAAAAAGCTAATCTGAACCCTAGGATAGCTAGGTGGACGTTAGCCTTACAAAATTACACATTTGACATTACTCACCGGCCAGGTAATAGGATGGTACACGCAGATGCCCTCAGTCGTAGCGTTGCATTTGTGGATGAATTTCCACTGGAGCGAAGACTTGAATTCCTCCAATTAGCAGACCCTAAAATTTTTAAAATAAGCAGCGAATTAGAATTAGAAGAGAATGATAAGTTTGCGCTTATAGATGGTTTGGTTTATAAAAGAATAGATGGTGAAATGAGATTTGTCGTGCCAGAGTCAATGGTCACAAATATACTTAGAGCGCACCACGATGACATAATGGTTATGAAAAAACGTTAATTGGTATCAAACAAAATTATTGGTTTCCCAGGATGAGAAAACGCGTTTTGAATTATATAGAAAATTGTCTTATATGTCTTACCGCAAACAGTTCCTCCAATAGACAGGAGAGCGAGACTCAATTGTATCCGTTGCCAAAGTCTCCCTTAGAATTGATACACATAGACCACTTCGGTCCACTTCAGGAAACTGTAGATGGCTATAAACATGTTTTGCTTATAATTGATGCATTCACCAGATTCACGTGGCTATATTCAACTAAATCTACCGGTGCGAAAGAGGCAATGAAGCTTCTGGACAATCTGTTCTCTATTTTTGGAAAGCCAGTAGAGTTGGTTTCAGATAGAGGTTCCGCATTCACTTCGAAAGAGTTCACTGATTATTTACAGAATCAGAATATTAAACATAGAAAAGTGGCTGTAGCGGCTCCATGGGCCAACGGTATGATAGAGAGGGTGAACAGATTTCTAGAAACTTCTTTGACAAAGCACATAGACTCTCAGATAGAGTGAAAACAGAATTTGAGCGAAATACAGTATATTATAAATAATACGCACCATTCTACAATTAAGGCCACTCCGTCAAAACTCTTGTTGGATTACGAACAGCGTAACCATGCAGATCATGCAATAGCTCGTCTCACAAAGGCCTTGCACGATGTTGACCATGATCTAGAAACAGATAGGAGTGTTAGACGCGATACCGCTTTACGAACGACTGATATGATTAGAAATTATAACAAAATGTACAAGGATAAACATAGCGTTAAACCAACAAAATATAAAGAAGGTGATTATGTGATGATCAGAAATGACCGAAACAAAATAGGGGCAAGTTCTAAGTTGAAACCTAACTATAAAGGTCCATACCCAGATAGCACATGGACATTCAATGGATGTCCATTGAACGTCTACTTTCTGGACGTCGGACATCTATTTTTGGTCCAAATAAGATTCGTCGGACGTCTGATGGACATCCATATCACATACGCTTGACACAACTTCGGACATCCATAAAATATCTGAAATAAGACTGTTGTTGAACCTATTTTGGACTTATTTTGGATCATCTTGGACGTATTAACGATATCCATAATAAATCCAAAATAGGTCGAAAACGGTCTCATTTCGGACATATTACGGACGTAATTTTGGGATACATACTCGCGAATCTAATAAAATACTAAAACAATTGATTTATTCAAATATAAACATTTATTGACTTTTGAGTTTGGTACCGAAAATATTGTTTTGTCAATATATATAATAATATATAATAATTATTATATATTATATATTTATTTTTATACATATACATGTAAAAAAATATATAATATAATATACAAAAATGATCAATATTACATACAAGATGTCAGGGTAAAGATTGTGCCAATTATACTCGCGAGCAAGTAGAATACAGTAAACTGAACAGAAAAGTTTTATATCATTTTGCTAAATTCGCAATAATTGTTATATTATTAAAATATTTAAGCCAATGAGCGAATGAAAAGCGAAAGTTTGGAATTGGTAGGTATCATATACAATAGAATAGATCGGCTAAAAAGGTAGTAGGGGTCGATTTATTTTATTGTCTATGTTATGCCTACAGATTCCAAACTATCGCTTTCCATGCGCCCATTGGCTTACATATTCAAATTAATCACATTATTTTGCAAAAGCAAAATGATATAAGATTTTTATGTTTAGTTTACTACAATGTTTTATCTACTCACGAGCGTTGACATCCGACAATTTGTATATTTGAGAATAATTATAATATAATATATATTAATTATAAAAGATAATATATAATATGGAAATCTAACATATGTATGGCTTATTATTTATATGTATAAGATATATCATAGAAATATTATTTTTCATTGACTGGAAATATTAAAAATCTTATTTAAAACTAGAAATTAAATTGAACATTTTGTTACGGAAACATTAGTATCACATACGTACATATTATAAAATAAATCTTAACTTTATCTTGAAATAAATCTAACTTAAAAAACTTTGAACGCTTACAATGTTAATTATTACGCATATGTATCATATAAATATATATGATAAAATATATCAAAAATTTATTAATATTATTAATCTTCTTGTTATTAGTCTTCTTATAGTTATGATGAGTCTTCTTCAGTTCTTTGTTTATCTTGCTTCTTCTTTTCACCATTTAATCTTTCTTTAGCTCTTCGCAGCCATTTCTGAACTGCTTCTTCTAAAACTTTCTTGTTATATTCGGAATTACTATCTTGACCGGAAACTGTAATAAAAAAATCAGCATCTTGTAAGCAATAATTAATTTTTTTATTTATGTGATTTCATTAAGATTAATTATTTAAATAAGATAACATTAATAAATTAAACAAATAACATTATCTACTTATAGACATACTTACCAATTAGCAAGTCAGCGAGTTTTAAATGACAAAATTTCCTTTTCTGTTTTGCTCCTAGCCAACTATATTTTTCAGCCAGCTCGTTGGTCAACAAACGAGTACAATTGCGCTTAATAAATTCGTAAGGATTTTTTCCCCCTACTCTGGATACTTCTTTAACCTACAATAAATATTTTTTAAAAAACATTATTTTGAAAATTACAAATATATAACAATATGTTTAACAATTAATTTAATAATTTACATGTTATTAATATTACTATATAATTTTATATTATAAATTTTAATAATATATCGCTCTAATAACCACAAATTAGATTTAAAATGTAATAAATAATATAGAATTAAAAGGAATTGAAAGAATCTATTTTATTTTTTTTGAAATTTATATATTAATTTAATTTAATAAATTTTTATTTTTAATTTTAACTTATTTACTAAGTTAATTTTTATTTTGTGATTTAGAATTTTAGATTAACTGTAATTGTTTTTAAAATATTTATAAAGATCTATTGTAAATAATTAACATTTTAAAAGTTAAACAATTAGTTATTAATTTTAAAAATCCAATAAAACTCATTAAAAAAATTAATAATTAATAAATTATTATTACCGATATTTCGAACTTATTCGGTTGATTTAAAAATTGTTCTACGTGCTCTTCTAAATCTTCCACCGAATTAAAAGGAAGATGAGGAAAAGAAAAAATAGACTCTTCTCTTTCAGTTACATTGGGCCGTTGATGAACTTGTTGCAACAATTCATTTTTCATATCTTTTAAATCATCTGCTATTTGCCATAACTGGGTCTTAAAGTATGATTGCTGACGGATAATTTCTTTAAAATACTGAAGCACTGTAAATTAAAACAAAAATAATGTAAAGATTATTTTTTACTTACTAAATTCCAATTTTTTAAAGATTCCATTGAGATTATATATGTATATATAAAATAGTAATTTCAGAATATATGTATAATGAATAGATTTTTGTCCGTGCTATTAACGTATAGTTATGACATTTTATTTATAAAGTGCACAGACAAAGAAAGCAATCACAAAAACATTTTTAATATTTCTTTGTATAACAAAATAATAAATATAAATAATAAAATATAAATATGATTAAATATAAACATGATTAATATAAATATAATTATTGATTAAAATAATGATTAAGATAATGAAATATAATAAAGAAGATGGTGATAAAATGATGATAATGATAAAATAATGTTAATATAATAATAATATCAAAAAATAGAATAAACAGTATAATAATAATTAATAATTATTTCTTTACAGTTATTTACTGATAGCACAGACAAAACCTATGAAAAATTATAAAGTTAGTTTTAAACAATATAAATTATGTACCAATTTTATTGTCGACAACATCTTCTGTCTTATTATTTTGTATGTTGTGCTCATTGTCCTGCAAAATATTTGAAATATTCAAAAATCCATCTTGTAAGTGCTTCGTCCGTTTATTCGGAACTTCATTGGATGATTGATCCACTGATCTTGATTGACATTTGTTGCTCTTCGCATTTTCGTAATTTGTACTTTTCAATGATTCTATGTATAAAAAAAATAATAATAGTAGTTACATATATAATCTTTGTAATACACAAACTAAACATATTTAATAATATCAGTATATACTTATTTTATAATAATTTTAATTTAGTAGCTTTTATTATTATATTAATTTAATAATTTTATTAGTATTTTAGTTTTATATATAATAAAATATATAGAATACTGCATGAATGAACATAATAACATAGGAAATTCAATGCTAATTCTGAAATAATAAAAATATTGGCTCTTCTAACTGTTTTAGAATTAAATTTCATTATTTCTATTTTTTTGGAAAAGCATATCAAGTATTGTCCTATATTAGTTTTTTTATTGACCCATTTTAACTATATTGTTAAATACAATTTCTTTAAATCTTGAAGATTCATTAAAATTGTATTTAACAATATTGACTTCGCCAATTTAAAAAAATTATATGTATAATATATATATATATATTATTATATATTATTATATTATATTTGAATGTATTATAATATATTTATAATATGTTAATTATTTAAAATCTATTTTCTCGGATTTTACAAAATTTGTTTTACATAATTTTGCAACTGCAGTTTTTCTATGTAAATACTTCTGTTAAGTTCTTCTGTATTATAGATTTAATTCAAGATATTAAATGACTAGCTGCTGTCATTAGGATATTATATTTCCCTACACGACATGAAAGATCTGATATGTCAAATGTGAAATGTTAAAATATTGATTTTTCTATTTATTTTCGAGCAAAGTTTTATTAAGTTTTTCGAATATTAAGATTAGTCGATTAAAATTTATATTATTAATGCAATTACTAAATTATGTAAAACAAATTTCGTAAAATCGGAGGAAGTAAGTTTTAAATAAATAATATATCATAAATATATTTTATAATACATTAAAATATAATATAATAATATATTATATATTTTTTATATTATATTATATATATTATGTATATTATATATTAATATTTAATATTAAAACAACTTTGTGTGTTCATAATTGGAGGCGTCCGTAATTTAGTGCACTCTTCGGTAGATTCATCTGATGACAAAAAGAATTTCTTTGGGATAATTTTTCTTTTCGAAATGTTATCATTATCAGTCTCGGAGTTTAATTCAGATGTTAATTCAGCCTTTTTGGCTTTTTCCCTGGCTGTTTTATAGTTATCTGAAAATACAAGTAAATATATTTATATTATTATAACAAAAATAACGATTATGTACATATATTATTGATCACAAAAGTATATGTGGAATGTATAATATTTAAATATTTTATATTAACCATAACTGCTGTTTCTGAAAGTCATAACATTATATGAAGGCCAACATGTATTTGGTTCGGCATGTCTTTTGATAGCCGCTACAATTTTTTCCATGTGAAACGGTGGCCAATAACATTTTTTATTGATAATCCAGGTAGATGGGACAGCTTCAACTGTATCTTCATCTATAAACCTTACTATAGTCCATGATCTCTCCATTTCTTCAAACATTTCAACAAAAAATTTAAGGAGTATTTTATTCCAACAAAAAATTCTATTTACAATTTATATATGAAAAGGCGCAAACACTCAATAACTTATCACAAAAATTGCAAACCTATTTCCTCTATATATTATATTGTATATTATATATATATTATATTTATCTATATATTATTATAAATTATATAAAAAATTAACATTTTTTTAGCAAAGAGCACAAGAAAAGAAAAATTTTTAAAAATATTCTGAATGTAATAAGGGAAAAACTACATACTTATTTTTATATTTTAATTTCATACATTTATTTGCAATTTGCCCTAAATCCCAGGATTCTAAATTTCCAATATCATTGATTACATATATCCCTAATTTTGACGACTTACATGGTACGGTGTAAAAATCTGTAAGCGTTTTATGTTTATTTCCGATTACGAAAAAGCCCTCATTATTTACAACAAAATTTCTAATAACAATAATGTTTTCGTCTTTTAAGCTACAGCAATTATCGGGTTCATTGATTTTTAAAATAAATTGTTTAAACACCGCTTTGCCAAATTGATTACAATTATGAAAATTAATAATAAGTGGACCATTAAAATGTGGTTTTAAAAATTGAGGCTCGTTACATTTCACTCTGACATTAGAATTTATACAATAGTTTCTTTCAGTTATACGACAAACAATTTGCTCTAATTCTTTATTATTTTTACGAATCATTTTTAATATAGATTGTAAGTAATTTTCAAACGGAAAAGCACTGAATTCTTGAAGAATTCCAAATTTTTTCGCGTCATCACAAATATGTAATAAATGATGCAGGTTGTGCGATGCATTTTCTTTACCATATAAATTCATAAATGTTTCTACAAAATATTGCAATAAGGAGTTGGAATAATCTAAATATTGTTCCATATGTTTTGAATTAGACAAAATAGTGATAGCTACATGTAAAGTTAAAAAATTTAAATATTGATCATGATTTAGAATAGATTTTAAAACAACAGATCCCGTATATAATAAAAAAGTTCTAAATTCGGTTGCCTTCCATCTTTTACTTTCAAACAAAGATCTTGATTTTCTATTAAATTCGGAAGGTATATATTTTTTTTGATGTTCTAATAACTTTGATATTTCAGATATTTGACAAAAGGATAACTTTGTTTTAGGTTTTCCGTAACACCATAAAGAAATCAGTTTTTTAACAACTCCCAAGAATATTAAATGCATCGGATCAGATGGAAAATCATTCACCATATTTATATTAGGAATCGATTCAAGTATTGATGTACCTATATGATGGTTTCTTGTAAGTAGTATAGTGGGCACTATGGCCCGTCAAAACAAACCCCCACCACCGACCCGTCTGGCGCCGAGTCTTATCTTATCTTTCCCCCACCACCGGCGTCTGGTTTTTCCGAGTGTGGGTGTAGGGGGAGAGGGTGTTGGGGAAAAAAAAATGGCGACTGGCCCCGAAAGGTGGGGATGAGAATTTTTTTTTTTTTATTTTTTCTGATTTCCTCTGGATTTGAACCTGGGGCCTTCGTGTTTCCGAGCAGGGTCCTAGTATGTTGAGCTAAACGAGATCTTACTAGTCTAAGGATTAGATGAGGTATTTAAGCTAAAGTTGCGTAGGGTACGGTATGGGGGTACGGGTATACGTATGGCAAGGATAGCTCGTCGAATCAAATGGTCGATATTGGACGGGGTGGGGTAAAAACAGTTAGGGTATACGTATGGCAAGGATAGCTCGTCGAATCAAATGGTCGATATTAGACGGGGTGGGGTAAAAACATTTTGACCAAGAAAAGCGTCATGCGGTCGACCGGGGATCGGTGGCAGGTAGTAACTGACAATGCCGTAGGGTAATAAAAAAAGAACACGCAAATATTTGTACTGGCGAGCATTCCGACTCGTGTCACGATAAAAAAATAATGCATCATCGTAGATTAGAAAGAATGCTTATTGTTGAAAAGATGTCGGATAAAATTTTATTTTAAAATAACTCGTTGCTTAATGAAGGTAAACAGAAACATGGATGTTGAGGAAATTTCTGGAAAGAGGAAGTGAAAGAAAATTGAACAATGGTTTTAAAAGTACAAATATGATTTATATTTAAAATATTTTTACAGAATAAAATTATTCACAAACATTTCAAGAAAATATTCGTCGAATAATTATTAAAATTTACGTTTTGATATAATTGTATGTACAATTTGTTCGAAATAAAGTGAAATTATTTCTAAAAATGTTATCTCAAAGTATACATCGAGAAATGTTAAATCTTTCAGTTGGGTACGTACATTACGTTCTATTTCCTTACTGTTACCTCTGATCGTGAGTTTCACGATACTGTTATTAATGCTACCGTTGACAGGAAGATTTAACTGTATTTCGTTAATTAAATATCGAGCACATTCGTTGACATTAGTTGAAATAAAATTTAGACGATTTAAATTAGCGTTCACACAATCAACTATATTTTCTACACCTTGAAAAGTCGTTCTCTGCATGACTATCGCAATGTTGTAAGTTTTACGTTTCTTCGCCTTCGGTCCGTTTTCGTTCGTATCCTCCACAGTCT